CTAAGCCACAGCGCCTACCCTCCACTCAACTGGTAGCTCTCCAAAAATTCAGGACACATCCCAAAGGAATCGATTACTAAAGGAATTAAACATAAACAGTGGTAATAGTTCTTCCAACAGCCACAAGGCACTACTGTTTGTGGAACGCGGGACTTTTTATTTACAAATCTGGTGGAATGACCTCGTAAACTATCAGCCATTTAGTCAGACTTAAAAAGGGCTTGGACATTCATTAATCTAGCAATTTAATTGAAAGGCACTGCTGGGATTTGAACCCAGGATCTCCTGTTTACTAGACAGGTACTTTCACCACCTCAGCCACAGCGCCTACCCTCCACTTAACTGGTAGCTCTCCAAAAATTCAGGACACATCCCAAAGGAATCGATTCCTACAGGAATTAAACAGTGTCAGTGGTAATAGTTCTTCTAACAGCCACAAGGCACTACTGTTTGTGGAACGCGGGATTTTCTATTTACAAATCTGGTAGGATGACCTCGTAAGATACATGTCCTAGTATACCTACCACCTTTTTGTCGCAAACTGCCTTGTCATTTTATTTTTAAGAAGCATACAATGTTGACGTGATTCTTGATAAATTCGACTGCAAAGCCTGACCAACAAAACGTTTCTGGTAGTTAGGTTGTTAAGATTTCAAATCAAGATTAAAAGCAAATACATTAGGAGCTGTCACCTATCAGCCATTTAAAAAGGCATTGGACATACATAGATCAAGCAGTGTAACTGAAAGGCACTGCTGGGATTTGATTCGAGGATCTTCTGTTAACGAGACAGGTACTTTGACCAACTAAGCCACAGCGCCTACCCTAAACTTAACTGGTAGCTCTCCAAAAATTCAGGACACATCCCAGAGGAATCGATTCCTACAGGAATTAAACAATGTCAGTGGTAATAGTTCTTCTAACAGCCACAAGGCACTACTGTTTGTGGAATGCGGGACTTTTTATTTACAAATCTGGTGGGATGACCTCGTAAGATACATGTCCTAGTATACCTACCACCTTTTTTCAGCAAACTGCCTTGTCATTTTATTTTTAAGAAGCATACAATGTTGACGTGATTCTTGATAAATTCGACTGCAAAGCCTGACCAACAAAACGTTTCTGGTAGTTAGGTTGTTAAGATTTCAGATCAAGATTAAAAGGTACTTGCTTAGGAGCTGTCGCCTATCAGCCATTTAAAAAGGCATTGGACATACATTAATCGAGCAGTTTAACTGAAAGGCACTGCTGGGATTTGAACCCAGGATCACCTGTTTACAAGACAGGTACTTTCACCAACTAAGCCACAGCGCCTACCGTCCGCTAAACTGGTAGCTCTCCAAGAATTCAGGACACATCCCAAAGGAATCGATTCCTACAGGAATTAAAATTTCCCAGTGGTAATAGTTCTTCTAACAGCCACAAGGTACTACTGTTTGTGGAACGCGGGACTTTTTATTTACAAATCTGGTGGAATGACCTCGTAAACTATCAGCCATTTAATCAGACTTAAAAAGGCCTTGAACATACATTAATCTAGCAATTTAATTGAAAGGCACGCTGGGATTTGAACCCAGGATCTCCTGTTTACTAGACAGGTACTTTAACCAACTAAGCCACAGCGCCTACCCTCCACTTAACTGGTAGCTCTCCAAAAATTCAGGACACATCCCAAAGGAATCGATTCCTACAGGAATTAAACAGTGTCAGTGGTAATAGTTCTTCTAACAGCCAAAAGGCACTACTGTTTGTGGAACGCGGGATTTTCTATTTACAAATCTGGTAGGATGACCTCGTAAGATACATGTCCTAGTATACCTACCACCTTTTTGTAGCAAACTGCCTTGTCATTTTATTTTTAAGAAGCATACAATGTTGACGTGATTCTTGATAAATTCGACTGCAAAGCCTAACCAACAAAACGTTTCTGGTAGTTAGGTTGTTAAGATTTCAAATCAAGATTAAAAGGTACTTGCTTAGGAGCTGTCACCTATTTAAAAAGGCATTGGACATACATTAATCGAGCAGTTTAACTGAAAGGCACTGCTGGGATTTGAACCCAGGATCTCCTGTTTACTAGACAGGTACTTTGACCAACTAAGCCACAGCGCCTACCCTCCACTCAACTGGTAGCTCTCCAAAAATTCAGGACACATCCCAAAGGAATCGATTCCTACAGGAATTAAACAGTGTCAGTGGTAATAGTTCTTCTAACAGCCACAAGGCACTACTGTTTGTGGAATGCGGGATTTTCTGTTTACAAATCTGGTGGGATGACCTCGTAAGATACATGTCCTAGTATACCTACCACCTTTTTTCAGCAAACTGCCTTGTCATTTTATTTTTAAGAAGCATACAATGTTGACGTGATTCTTGATAAATTCGACTGCAAAGCCTGGCCAACAAAACATTTCTGGTAGTTAGGTTGTTAAGATTTCAGATCAAGATTAAAAGGTACTTGCTTAGGAGCTGTCGCCTATTTAAAAAGGCATTGGACATACATTAATCGAGCAGTTTAACTGAAAGGCACTGCTGGGATTTGAACCCAGGATCTCCTGTTTACTAGACAGGTACTTTGACCAACTAAGCCACAGCGCCTACCCTCCACTTAACTGGTAGCTCTCCAAAAATTCAGGACACATCCCAAAGGAATCGATTCCTACAGGAATTAAACAGTGTCAGTGGTAATAGTTCTTCTAACAGCCACAAGGCACTACTGTTTGTGGAACGCAGGATTTTCTATTTACAAATCTGGTAGGATGACCTCGTAAGATACATGTCCTAGTATACCTACCACCTTTTTGTATTAAACTGCCTTGTCATTTTATTTTTAAGAAGCATACAATGTTGATGTGATTCTTGATAACTTCGACTGCAAAGCCTAACCAACAAAACGTTTCTGGTAGTTAGGTTGTTAAGATTTCAAATCAAGATTAAAAGCAAATACATTAGGAGCTGTCACCTATCAGCCATTTAAAAAGGCATTGGACATACATAGATCAAACAGTGTAACTGAAAGGCACTGCTGGGATTTGATTCGAGGATCTTCTGTTAACGAGACAGGTACTTTGACCAACTAAGCCACAGCGCCTACCCTAAACTTAACTGGTAGCTCTCCAAAAATTCAGGACACATCCCAGAGGAATCGATTCCTACAGGAATTAAACAATGTCAGTGGTAATAGTTCTTCTAACAGCCACAAGGCACTACTGTTTGTGGAATGCGGGACTTTTTATTTACAAATCTGGTGGGATGACCTCGTAAGATACATGTCCTAGTATACCTACCACCTTTTTTCAGCAAACTGCCTTGTCATTTTATTTTTAAGAAGCATACAATGTTGACATGATTCTTGATAAATTCGACTGCAAAGCCTGGCCAACAAAACATTTCTGGTAGTTAGGTTGTTAAGATTTCAGATCAAGATTAAAAGGTACTTGCTTAGGAGTTGTCGCCTATCAGCCATTTAAAAAGGCATTGGACATACATTAATCAAGCAGTTTAACTGAAAGGCACTGCTGGGATTTGAACCCAGGATCGCCTGTTTACAAGACAGGTACTTTCACCAACTAAGCCACAGCGCCTACCGTCCACTAAACTGGTAGCTCTCCAAGAATTCAGGACACATCCCAAAGGAATCGATTCCTACAGGAATTAAAATTTCCAGTGGTAATAGTTCTTCTAACAGCCACAAGGTACTACTGTTTGTGGAACGCGGGACTTTTTATTTACAAATCTGGTGGAAAGACCTCGTAAACTATCAGCCATTTAGTCAGACTTAAAAAGGCCTTGAACATACATTAATCTAGCAATTTAATTGAAAGCACCGCTGGGATTTGAACCCAGGATCTCCTGTTTACTAGACAGGTACTTTGACCAACTAAGCCACAGCGCCTACCCTCCACTTAACTGGTAGCTCTCCAAAAATTCAGGACACATCCCAAAGGAATCGATTCCTACAGGAATTAAACAGTGTCAGTGGTAATAGTTCTTCTAACAGCCACAAGGCACTACTGTTTGTGGAATGCGGGATTTTCTGTTTACAAATCTGGTGGGATGACCTCGTAAGATACATGTCCTAGTATACCTACCACCTTTTTGTCGCAAACTGCCTTGTCATTTTATTTTTAAGAAGCATACAATGTTGATGTGATTCTTGATAAATTCGACTGCAAAGCCTGACCAACAAAACGTTTCTGGTAGTTAGGTTGTTAAGATTTCAAATCAAGATTAAAAGCAAATACATTAGGAGCTGTCACCTATCAGCCATTTAAAAAGGCATTGGACATACATAGATCAAGCAGTGTAACTGAAAGGCACTGCTGGGATTTGATTCGAGGATCTTCTGTTAACGAGACAGGTACTTTGACCAACTAAGCCACAGCGCCTACCCTAAACTTAACTGGTAGCTCTCCAAAAATTCAGCAAACATGCCAAAGGAATCAAACAGTGGTAGTACTTCTTCTAACATCCGTGAGGTACTACTGTTTGTGGAATGCGGGACTGTTTATTTACAAATCTGGTGGTATGACCTCGTAAACTATCAGCCATTTAGTCACATTTAAAAAGGCCTTGGACATACATTAATCAAGCAGTTTAACTGAAAGGCACTGCTGGGATTTGAACCCAGGATCTCCTGTTTACTAGACAGGTACTTTGACCAACTAAGCCACAGCGCCTACCCTCCACTCAACTGGTAGCTCTCCAAAAATTCAGGACACATCCCAAAGGAATCGATTACTAAAGGAATTAAACATAAACAGTAGTAATAGTTCTTCTAACATCAATGAGGTACTACTGTTTGTGGAACGCTGGATTTTTTATTTACAAATCTGGTGGTATGACCTCGTAAGATACATTTCCTGGTATACCTACCACCTTTTTGTCGCAAACTGCCTTGTCATTTTATTTTTAAGAAGCATACAATGTTGTAAACTATCAGCCATTTAGTCACACTTAAAAAGGCCTTGGACACACATCAATGTAGCAGTTTAACTGAAAAGCACTGCTGGGATTTGAACCCAGGATCTCCTGCTCATTATACAGATAATTTAACCCCCTAAGCCACAGCACCTGACTAGTTGCTCTCCAAATATTCAGGACACATCCCAAAGGAATCGATTCCTATAGGAATTAAACAGTGTCAGTGGTAATAGTTCTTCTAACAGCCAAAAGGCACTACTGTTTGTGGAACGCAGGTTTTCTATTTACAAATCTGGTAGGATGACCTCGTAAGATACATTTCCTGGTATACCTACCACCTTTTTGTCGCAAACTGCCTTGTCATTTTATTTTTAAGAAGCATACAATGTTGACGTGATTCTTGATAAATTCGACTGCAAAGCCTAACCAACAAAACGTTTCTGGTAGTTAGGTTGTTAAGATTTCAAATCAAGATTAAAAGGTACTTGCTTAGGAGCTGTCACCTATCAGCTTTTTAAAAAGGCATTGGACATACATTAATCGAGCAGTTTAACTGAAAGGCACTGCTGGGATTTGAACCCAGGATCTCCTGTTTACAAGACAGGTACTTTCACCAACTAAGCCACAGCGCCTACTCTCCACTTACCTGGTAGCTGTCCAAAAATTCAGGAGACATGCCAAAGGAATCGATTACTAAAGGAATTAAACATAAACAGTGGTAATAGTTCTTCTAACATCCATGAGGTACTACTGTTTGTGGAATGCTGGACTTTTTATTTACAAATCTGGTGGTATGACCCCGTAAACTGTCAGCCATTTAGTCACACTTAAAAAGGACTTGGACATACATTAATCGAGCAGTTTACCTGAAAGGCACTGCTGGGATTTGTACCTAGGATCTCGGGTTTACTAACATCCACGAGGCACTACTGTATGTGGAAACAAAGGTTTTTGATTTACAAGTCTGGTGCTTTGACATTGTGAGATACATGTCCTAGTATACCTACCATGTTTTTGTAGCAAACTGCCTTCTCATGTTATTTTTAAAATCATACAGCACTGACTTGAGTCTTGATAAGGTCAAGTGCAAAGCCAAACCAGCACAAAGTTTCTTGTAGTTTTGTTGCCACCTGCATGGAGTTTGCATGTTTACCTTGTGCATAAGTGGGTTCACTCTGGCTATTCTGGGTTCCTCCCACAGTCCTCCCACAGTCCTGGAATATTGTGTTCCCCCTATAAACATCCCTTAGGGACCGTCAATAAATGTCCGAACCAAACACTTGGGGGGGAAAAAAAAATAGAACTTTTATGTCTTGCGAAAAAGTGACACAAAAGTAATCATAAATCATCCAAATAGACTGGAAGGAGGCACACTCATTGTTTTCTGATTTAAACACATTTCCTATTTTTTTTAAATAAATTTCTTATATGAAAATTCACAGTTTTTATTCAATAACTTTGAGATCATGTGACCAATTGACACCAAATCTGTCTTAAATTGTTCTACTACACTAGATAGATGCTGCACACTCATTGTTATTTGATTTTAATGCATTTTCTATTTTTTATAAATGTCTTTCATCACAAATCTTTTTTTTTCAATAGCTTTTAGGTCACATGACCCAATGATACAAAAATAATGTGAAATCATTCTACTAGACGGAGTAGATGAGACACACTTCTTTTTTAAGAATTTTAATTGTAATAACAATTGATCATTTTGATTAAACATTAGATTATAATACATACTGTGATCAGTTGCAAGGTAATCCTCAAAGAGTACAAGATATAGTCAAATGCAAAACACTCATTTTAGCAGATCACACCTGCTTTTTTGAAACTGTCCAGCTTTACTGTATAAGTCTTCAATGCATGAACCAGTTTCCTGGTATATCTGATTCCGAGGCATGTTCGTCCATCATTCAAATATGCTCCTTTTGTCCACATCAACAGTTGACTGGAGAGGAATGTGTGCGATTGTATTTTTTAAGTTCATGTTTCACTTATTTGTCAACATTTACTTCATCATTTTAAAACTGATATCAACAAATGTTCAGATTTGCTGGCAAACACAGTTTTAGCTCGTACTCTTCTGCTTTATCCGGGACCGGGTCGCGGGGCAGCAGACTCAGCAGAGATGCCCAGACGTCTCTCCTCCAGCTCCTCCGGGGGGAGCCCAAGGCGTTCCCAGGCCAGCCGACAGACATAGTCCCTCCAGCGTGTCCTGGGCCGTCCCCTGGGCCTCCTCCCGGTGGGACGTGCCTGGAACACCTCCCGAGGAAGGCGTCCAGGAGGCATTCGGTATAGATGCCGGAGCCACCTTAACTGGCTCCTCTCGATGTGGAGGAGCAGCGGCTCTACTCAGAGCCCCTCCCGGATGGCCGAACTCCTCACCCTATCTCTAAGGGAGTGCCTGGCCACCCTACGGAGGAAGCTCATTTCAGCCGCTTGTATCCGGGATCTCGTTCTTTCGGTCATGACCCAAAGTTCATGGCCATAGGTGAGGGTAGGAACATAGACCGACCGGTAAATCGAGACCTTCGCTTTTTGGCTCATCTCTCTCTTCACCACAACGGACCGGCACAGCGCCCCCATTACTGCGGCAGCCGCACCAATACGTCTGTCGATCTCCCGCTCCATTCTTCCCTCACTTGTGAACAAGACCCCGAGATAAACTCCTCCACTTGAGGCAGGAACTCCCCTCCAACCTGAAGAGGACAAGCCACCCTTTTCCGGTCCATGGCCTCAGACTTGGAGGAGCTGATCCTCATCCCAGCCGCTTCACACTCGGCTGCGAACCGCCCCAGCGCATGCTGTAGGTCTTGGCTAGAGGGGGCCAGCAGGACCACGTCATCTGCACAAAGGAGAGATGAAATCCACTGGTCCCCAAACCAGAGCGCCTCCGACGGGCCTTGGCTGCGCCTAGAAATCCTGTCCATAAAAATTATGAACAGGACCAGTGACAAAGAGCAGCCCTGCCGGAGTCCAGCATGCACCGGGAACAGGTCCGACTTAGTGCCGGCAATGCAGACCAAACTCCTGCTCTGCTTGTACAGAGACCGGATGGCCCCTAATAAAGGGCCCCCGATTCCATACTCCTGGAGCACCCCCCACAGGGCATCACGAGGGACACAGTCGAATGCCTTCTCCAGGTCCACAAAACACATTTGGACCAGTTGGGCAAACTCCCATGAACCCTCGAGTACCCTGTAGAGGGTATAGAGCTGGTACAGTGTTCCACGGCCGGGACGAAAACCACACTGCTCCTCCTGAAGCCGAAGTTCGACTATCGGCCGGACTCTCCTCTCCAATACCCACAGTTTCAGGCACTTTAAATATCTATAATTATTATGTTGCTTATGCAGAATATTGCAAGCCTGTTTAATGTGGGTGTCCATGCATCGGGAGTGGTTGACACCAATTATCTCCTAAATCCCTCCACAGCTGGTGTGATTCTGTTTGGTGACAGAACAGAGCTTCCTCCTTACAGTTAACCAAAGGTAATATATATTTTATGTTTGTTTATTGTGATATTGTACCAATGTAAGAAGAAGAACTCTCACACATCAGCTACTGAGGTAAACATGACTGGAAATCAACAAATCTGCCATATAAACCAGTAATCCATTAGTGAAGAGTTTTAATAATACCTATCTTTTAGAAGGTGTACTTGTAACTAAAAAAAATTACATACTGTGCATCCGCAAAGTATTCACAGCGCTGCACTTTTTCCACATTTCGTTATGTTACAGCCTTATTCCAAATGGTATCAATTTAATCTCGTTCATCTAAATTCTACACACAACACCCCATTATGACAATCTGAAAGAAGTTGGTTTGAGACTGTTGCAAATTTATTAAAAATAGAAAATAAATCACATTTACGTAGGTATTCACAGCCTTTGCTTAACACTTTGTTGATCCACCTTTTATGAGGCCACAAGCTCAGATCACCAGTTTGGCCCATTCTTCTTTGCAGAACATTTCAATCTCCATCAGGTTGGATGAGAGAGGTCTGTGCACAGCCATTTTCAGATCTCTCCCGATGTTCCATCAGATTCAAGTCTGGACTCTGGCTGGGCCACTCCAGGACATTCACGGGGTGGTTCTAAAGCCACTCCTTTGAGATCTTGGCTGTGGGCTACAGGTTGTTGTCCTGCTGAAAAAAGAACTGTCGCTCCAGTCTGAGGTCAGAAATGCTCTGGAGAAGGTTTTCATCCAGGATGTCTCTGTACATTGCTGCATTCATCTTTCCCTCTATCCTGACTAGTCTGCCAGTTTCTGCTTTGAAAAACATCCCCATAGAATGATGCTGCCACCACCATGCTTTACTGTAGGGATGGTATTGTCCAATAAGACCAGAGAATTTTGTTTCTCATGGTCTGAGATTCCTTTAGGTGCCTTTTGGCAAACTTCAGACAGGCTGCCATGAGCCTATTATTAAGGAGTAGCTTCATCTGGCTACTCTACCATACAGGCCTGATTGGTGGGTTGCTGCAGAGATGGTTGTCCTTCTGGAAGGTTCTCCTCTCTCCACAGAGGAAAGCTGGATCTCTGACAGAGTGACCATAGCTCAGTTTAGATAACCGTCCAGTTCTAGGAAGAGTCCTGGTGGTTTCAAACTTCTCCCATTTACTAATGATGGAGGCTGCTATTGTGGTGACACATCCTTAAAATGTGGAAACCTCTAAGTGGTTTGAAAACATATTTTTAAGAATGTGTCACCACACTTTTTTGTCTAGTTGTCATCCTTAAAAAACTTGTAGAAGTATTCATACCCCATAGGTTGTTCCACAAGTCATACGGTACAACCACATATTTCAATATATTTTCTCACAGTTTAATGCTGTGAAACCACAAAATAAAATGCATTTTCGTGGGGTTTTATGTGATGACCAAAACAACGTACAACAATAAAACACTTTGTTTGCTGCTGTTAAACAAAGTAAAACCTGAAAAGTGTGGCCTGCATGTGTGTTTAGCTCCCACTGTCAACACTTTTAGAACCAGTTGGTTCTTTACAGCTGCAAATGTTTCGTCAATATGTTTCCTCCAGTTTCAGGATGTAATAATGCTTATTGATTGTCCACAAAAAGACTTGTCCTTTCTAAAACATGAATATGGCTTGATATAAACCCCGGAACACCAGTG